GCTCTCGTGCTCGCTCTGCTCTCGTGCTCGCTCTGCTCTCGTGCTCGCTCTGCTCTCGTGCTTGCTCTGCTCTCGTGCTCGCTCTGCTCTCGTGCTCGCTCTGCTCTCGTGATCGCTCTGCTCTCGTGATCGCTCTGCTCTCGTGCTCGCTCTGCTCTCGTGATCGCTCTGCTCTCGTGCTCGCTCTGCTCTTGTGCTCGCTCTTCTTTCGCTTTCGTTCTCACCCCGCTTTCGTGCTCGCTCTCGTTCTCCTTTCGCTCCTCGCTCTCCCCCTCACCCTTGCCTCCGTTCTCAATCACAATTTCCTCAATTCCTCCCTCTCTCAATTTCCCTCGCTCTAGCTTTCACCCTTAGTGATCCCTTGTTCTTGCCTCATTATCTAACCCACCCTTACAGTCACTCACCGACGCTCAAGCCCTCACTGTTTTCTCGGTTTCACTTTCATTCTCATTCTCGCTCTCTTTTTCACTATCACTCACACTTTTTCATTCGTTTTCGCCGTCATTAACTTTCCCTTGCTCTTCTGACTGTCGCCATCACTCATTCTCTCTCTTGCCCTTGCCTTCATCCCCGCGATTTCCCTAATCCTTTTACTCTCTCACTCTCATCCCTGCCCTTCCCAACCCCCTTTCTTACTCTCATACCTTTCACCTATTCTCATCCTAGCCCTAGCGAAAGTCCTCGATTTTTACATTTTCGTAACCACTGTTTAACCGCACCTTATGTTATACCAGGGAAATTCCTCTCCGTGGCGGGCAGTGGGGCATTAGCCCATATACGCGCCCGCCTGAGGCGTCCAGGTACATCCTTGGGCTGGTATCTGGATCCCGCCAAACGCAATTTATTCTCTCGGTAACCTTTCCATTCAATGCCTGGACCGAGCCTGTCGGCTCAGAGCTATTGGCTTTACAGGCCGGTGCCGAAGTCGTAACAACGCTCCACTCACAATGTGCCGGGACAAGTCCCTCCTCTATGCCCAGAGAGTCGGGCTACTACCACGACGAAGATAAGTGTCCAACTGGGGGGCTACAGAGGCTAAGTTACGGGGGCTGGGGGCCCCCAACCCGTCTCTTTGTGAAGTTTCCATCTTGAAGCTATCGACGTGAGTACCATCGGGATCTTGGCAATCTAAGAGGGGGTCAGGGGTCATGCTTCTCGTCTGGACTTTTTTACGGAAGATCCGGAAGTCCTTTGCCGAATCCCGCCTGTTGGCACATTGACCGCCAATTTTCTTCAAATTTGGCGTCTTGTTTTTTAATAGAGCATTCTTGATGTTCTTTGAAGGCGTTTCAGAGGAAAGGACTATACATTTGAAACGTGGCGCTTCGGAATGAGTCTTAATTTTCCCCAAAAAGCCGCGAGACTTTCTTCTCTGTTGACCAAATACTCAATACTTTCCTACAAAGTTCCTTGCCGTAGATTGCCAGCTGATTTCTACCTCAGACGCCAGCTCGCATTTTCATCACAAACTAATGCAGAAAGCTGAGTAAAAACGTTTTGAACGCCTTCATGGTTCGATTCAGTGTGTGCCAGGCACTGGATGCAGTTGAAACATGAAGTAAAAACCACTAAATTCGTAAGGAAAGGTTTAATTTCGTTTGGATGGAGAACACTCTTGTCTGACAAAAAACTACGGATAGAAGAGGTGATATGTCATTGTAGTTTCTATCAATAGTTCTCCCAACTTTTTTCTTTGAGTATTTCACCGCCTCAACTCCGCCCAAATGTCGACGAACTAGAGGCTCAACGGGTGGGTCACCGGGCGAACCTGAACTAGCGCCTAACCATTGCCTCCATCTACAAGCTAACGACGTGAGTGCCGTTGTGAAACTCGGCATCCGGGTCCCCCCGTACTCCCCAACCATTATCGCGCGGGCGTTCGTCCATTTTCCGACCTCACGCCCAACCAACGCCCATTACCCCTACTGTCCATTCTTTTGCCCGGTCCCCGCCGATCAAACTCTCCCTCCGATTCGTATATCCCCCCATTGACACCAACGCCGCAACCTCACCCTCTTCACATTCACACTCCACCCGTCCTCGCGTTCCTGTTCCTGCCTCCGCTCTCCTCCCTTTCAATCATGGGACGGATGAGGGGAAGAAGGTGATGGGGAAAGAAGGTTGACGATAAAAGAGCAAAGATATGAAGAGGTAGGGGAAGGGGTATCGTTGGGATTTAGAGACAATCAATTCACTCTTTCCTTTCAAGAGAAATTTTTATCCCTCATCAGAATGGACTAAAGCTCCAATTCAACACTTCGCGACACATTTATTCGTACCATTTGAAGTGCTGCGTACAGATTAACAAACAAACCAGTTTTATTAAAGCTGTTATTAAAAAAATAACGTACGTAACTCGTTTATAATGCTCCTTCAATAATGCATTTGCCTATAATGCATTCGTACAAATTTGAAAACTCGCTCGTATGGTCGCTCGTTTTCGAAACCTGCACTTATGCAATAAAGATTAACATTATCAACTAAATGCATAATATACTATTACGTACTTGTTGTTTGCTTTGTCATCGAAATTGCAATCTCACGATACGTGCATTCTATATATTCGTACAAAATCTTAATTCGGTGCATGGTTCTACGCGTCTATTGTTAGACAAACCGCTTTTGAAAGACGATCGAAGAAACTGCGAAGTAGAAAAATGAGGCATGTCCCATGCAGTGTAACCAGTAAAAAATATTAACTAATCAAAGCGAAAATTAATGCTAAAATATTCTCGTATATGTAACATTACAATAATATATAATCCCCCCTCCTAATTTCATAAGTTCAAACATTGCATTATTCTGAAGATAGTAAAATTGTATGGAGGCACAAAACGCACACTCTTTCAATATTGCCTTAGTTTTAAATAAAACAATTGAATTGAAATGCCAATCACGTTGAAGTGATGCCGATGATAACACAATCATCTGAAATGTAGTATATTACTTTAACACAGAGGGTGTGTTTAGAAATTAGCATGTGTAAACAGTTCTGAGCTGTACAAATTGACGAGGCATAGCAGTATGCAACAGTTTCATATGGTGTTTATAGCGCGATATTTCACAATACTGAATTTGTGTTTTAGACAAACCAATGGACTCGCTATCATTTTTGCGGACTACAAGCAACGAGAAGAAAATTGTAGGATTTCGAAAAGAAATGGTATTCTATCAGAAGCGAACACCATTTTCCTCAGGAGAAATCAGATATTCCAACGAAGTTACCCCTAAGACAGACTTAAGAAAATCCGATGGGAAATTAAATCAGCGAAAGAGAGAGACAACGATAGAGCTTACAGGAAGAGATCAACGGTAAATGGTCTTCGAGTCGGTTATGTAAGGGTATCGATTTGTAGAGCATAAAGCTAGTCACTACTTTGAAATGAGCGCTGGTGCTGTATGTATTACATTACTTCTACATACGCACTCCCGGCAGTGGATATATTTTAAAAGTGCTCTAAACAAGCCACAGGTCGCGCGAGATGATTTCCCTACTCTACCTTCCTTTTCTCCCTTTCCTCCCCTTTCCTCGCCTTTCCTCCCCTTTTCTTTCCTTTCCTCCTTTTCTTTCTCCTTCTGTCCTTTCTTTCCCTTCTTTCTCCTTCTGACCTTTCCTTCCCTTCTTTCCCTTCTATTCTTCCTTTCCCTACTTTCCCCTTCTGTCCTTTCCATCCCTTCTTTCCCCTTCTGTCCTTTACTTCCCTTCTTTCCCCTTCTGTCCTTACTTTTTTCTTTTCCTTTCCTTTCCTTTCCTTTCCTTCTTTCCTTTCCTTTCCTCCTTTCCTTTCCTTCTTTCCTTTCCTTTCCTTCTTTCCTTTCCTTCTTTCCTTTCCTTCTTTCCTTTCCTTCTTTTCTTTCCTTCTTTCCTTTCCTTCTTTCCTTTTCTTCTTTCCTTTCCTATCCTTTTCCTTTGCTCCCCTCTCATCCTCTTTCCTTTTCTTCCCTATTTTTCCAGACAGTGCTCGCGCTTCACTAGATTTAACTTGGTGCCAATAATTCTTCATGGATTCAAACTTAATACTAACTCTAATTCTAGAAAGCTTTTGTCTGAAACACAACTAAACAAGCTGTTGTCGCTGGTAAGACAGACATAACATTGTAAAACACAATATTAAATATAATAATAAAATATTTTATCCACTTCGATTATCTGAAATCAAAGTTTAAAACTTAAATCCGTTTTGTTATATTAATTATAACCATACAAGAGATTTAGTAACCAATCGCCAACCATTAAAAGCTATCATCTTCATTACGCGGTATTATAGTCTGCTCAAGATTTTTCCTCGATTTTTTGCCGATGGCTCGTTTCTACCTGCTCTTGCCACTCAAAAATTTTTGATAATTTTTTCGTCTAATTTTTGGTCTTAGTTTAGCACGTGTTGTTAAAGGGTTGTGCATCTGTTAAGAGGCATCGTGATCTGCTTGATCCCTCTTGCAAAGTCCATATTTTCTAGAGATCCTAACCAAGCTATTCTTTCTGATTTTTAATATCTTATGTTTTTATATTTATTCAAAGCTTTTCTTGACTCCAAATTTCTTACTTTATATTCATAGACCGAAAATAGTTCAAACATTTTTCTATCAAATATTGATAACAACTCTCACCTGTTTTTAATGAGCGATTCAGAACACAAACATTCTTATATCCATAATCTCCTATTAACTACTTTCAACAACATCGATGAACTTTCGCTGAATGAAGGATCAAATATAAGCGAAAATCATAGTACACAGGAATATTAACAAAAAGGATAAAACGTACGATTTTCGTTTCGCAACATCTTATTACAATAATCGATTGGTTATCAAACTAGACCTGCTAGCCTCATTGATAATTCAGCAATCTTTTTTATACGGTGTCTTACGATACTTATTACGTCGATACCTATTACTCCCACACATCAATCATTATTACTGTTTTCTGCATGCAATAATGATTATTGCTTTTCAACGCATCTTCTGCACTGGGTTGTCAAAGCCACTCGACACGAGAGGAGATGCACCGAAGTAGGAGCGATGTGTGTGTGTGTGTAAGAAAGCGAAGTGCTCACGGAGGGGGGTGAAGGGGCCGCGGTTGTCGAACTGACGGGGCCGTGCAAGATGAGGTCGGATCGAGCAGATGGGCGACCGTAAAAGTGGATCTCTCGAGGTATACGGAGAGGGAAGGCGGTGTCACGGGAGGAAGGGGAGACAAGACGGGGGGGCGGGGGCAGAGACACTTCCGGATGGAGGGCAGGTAAAGTGGATTCGCTGGCGTGCCACTGAAGGAGATGTATTGAAGATGAACGGATAGAGCCGAATAGTGCAGTCGAAGAGGAAGTCCCCAGGTGTTCCAGATAAATGGCTTGCTCTTCGAACTTGTGAGTGGGAAAGAGTAGGGCGCATTTGTTTGCTCCGAACTGTTGCGTCAATTCATTTTTTACGTTCACGGAGATAAGACTAGTCATACATCGCACGCATGGACCTCCGCCCTCTATTCAAACTGCCATTACTTTCGGGTTGAATACCTCGTTTTTCAGTGAATATTCTATTTTTGAAATGTTAACCAATAGGATTGAAGAACCCTTATCATGTGAACAAATTAGAGATTAAATTATTTATACTTGTGAGTAGGTTGTTAGAATTTTAAAACTTCGAATTTTGCTGGGTTTTTTACAGCACTATTACATAATCTGTGCACCCTAATTGGGCGCTATTTTAAGATGTGATAATTTGTAAAAGGTTATTTCAAATGTATTATTGTCATTAAGTAAAATTGTAGACAAAATCGCAAAAATAACGCTTTATTTTAGTTTTAACTTTTTAAACCTATTAGCACTAGTGTTTTGAGAATCCATGTTAAGAAACATGTGTTTGATGTTCCAAAAACTCCTATGTTTGTTCAACTATGAGATTATTTAAAAATACGTACATCGTTCAAAACTGCAAACAAGGTATATAATAGTTTTGAAAACATTGTTCAAATTGTGGTTGTCATTTTTTACAAATATCACATTTCACTCTCTTACAATGATGAGTATTATTACAAAACTTTCTCTCAAACTTTCTCACATTTCCATACCCGGTATTTCTACCAGAAATCAATTATTAAAGGCAGATACCAACATTATGTATTCCTCCTTCCATACTTTGGACAGAATCAGCACAAAAATAGACATTTTATACATTTAGAATATGATAATGTACTCGCACATCTGACTTTTAAGAATAAATAAATCCATGCTTTCCATTTTTATTTGTATTACAAAGTCAACAACACTTTGACAACATAACTATATTTTAATTTATTGCCAATTGATATTCAACTATTTTAGTAAAACTAGTATTGATCATAGTTGCTCCTTAATATATTTGTGCCAGAATTTTCGTGCGCTTTGTTTCTGTTAGTATTGCCTTATGCTTTGTTTCTAACTATGATGTCATGTACTTTGTTTCTGGGATTCTGACCATGCGCTTTATTAATGTCAGTGTGACTATGTTTTTTGTTTTTGGCAATGTGAATATGTGCTTTGCTTCTGACAGTCTGGTCATGCTTATTGGTTCTGGTAGAGTGACCATGCGCTTAGTTAATGAAAGTGTGGTCACATGCTATGTGTTTGAGACTGTAACCATGTGCTTTGTTGCTGACAGTGTGATCATGTGCTATCTTTTTGACAGTGTGAACAAGTGATTTGTATCTGACACTGAACAGTGTGGACAAGAGCTTTGTATCTGACATTTAACAGGGTGGACAAGTTCTTTGCATCTGATATTAAACACCGTGAACAATTGCTTTGCATCTGGCATATAACACTGTGTACAAGTGCTTTGTATCTGACATTTGACAGGGTGGGCAAGAGCTTTGCATCTGACATTTGACAGGGTGGACAATTGCTTTGCATTTGATATTTAACACGGTGGACAATTGCTTTGCATCTGGCATTTAACAGAGTGGACACGTGCTTTGCATCTGATATTTAACACAATGAACAATTGCTTTGCATTTGGCATTTAACAGAGTGCACAAGTGCTTTGCATCTGATATTTTAACAGAATGAGATTTGTTTCTTCATCGCGTGCTTTGTTTCTGACAGTGTGGCCACGTGGTTCGTTTCCGAGTGTGACCTTGGGACTTTGTTGCTGACAGTGTTGCCACGTGTTGCAGGAGGCGCGCGATGCAGCTGCAGCTGCTGGTCATCGCCGCGTGGGCGGCGATCGCTTCCGGTGAGTATTTGCCAACTTCCGGTTCGACGAGCCAGCAACGGTACCACCACAAAGAAAGGCCACCGGAACCGTTTTCACGTCTTCTCTCGATTTCTCTTCTTGGTAGAAACATTGTGAATATTAAATTATAAAATTAATAATTAATAATTTGTAAATAATACCCTATGCTTGGCAGCGACTATGAAATTTTGTTTAAAGTTCAGCTGAATACCGAAAGTTGTGTTTGCATCGAGACGTTGATACAAAATATTGAGGGGTAAAAAGCAAAATTATACGAAAATATTTTTTGAAGAGCTTCTTAAATTAAAACTGGAAATATTATGTATTAAATAAGCTCTTCTTCTAGTCGCATGAACTGCAAGGTCACTGGCGACCATTTATACAATTCTTTACAACAATCATATAATAGTATAGGATTTAGAAATTTTAATACATTATATGAGATGTTTCAGTAAGCAATGTTACATTAGAATCAATACTGCTCAAATTTCTATCAAGAATGTCAACAGAAACAGTGTGCATGTAATTTATTTCATTCAGTTCTGTTATTCGTGGCAAACGTATCCAATTTTTACAACCTCGCTGTGTAAATTATGTACTACATCTTACTATATCTTCTACTTATGTGCCTTATCGTAAATTAGTAATTGCATTAATTATAGAAAATTTTGTTTTACATGTATTATAAAATCATTAAAAATATAACAATTTACACTTACAAATATGGATCTATCTTTCCAGAGAGTCACATTACAGTGGGTAACAAATTAGGAAAGTCAGGTGAAATATTTTCTTTAATATCACGTTTTGGGAACCTGTCGTGTTCCCGTTCACGTCACTAGATACTCAATAGTATAAATTATGTCTTCCAATTAATCTTTACGTGTTATTATTTTAGTATAATTTTATATAAATTAAGATGACTTAGTTAACACATCCAGCATATCAGGCACAACTGTGTGGTTTGTGTAACATCTTAAATTATTAAACATCTAAAATAATATAAAATGTTTAAATATTTTTTAATTCTTAAATTTAAAATGAATAGAATATTTAAACATCTAAAATAAATGAAAATAGTTTAGGTGGATATTGTATTGTACATGGATTATTCACAATTGGTGAGCATTGAATATATGTTGTCGTGCTATTGATGGAATTAGTTTCGTATTATATCTGCAATTATGAATCTATTATTATTATTATTATTATTATTATTATTATTATTATTATTATTATTATTATTATTATTCCTAATGATTAATAACTCTGCTACATATAGCAAGGAAAATGTTTTCTTAATAACTAATTTTAAACATGGTATAATTTAAATTATTTTTCTTTACATGTTATTATAATTGCTACATTTCTACTTAACAACTTACTTTTTTTCTTTTTCTTACTCCATGATCTATCATATTTTCATTTACTGTTGAAGAAGTACCTAAAATTGCTGAAAGATTACTTTTAGTGAAAGTTCCCTTTTGACGAGTTGAGGGGGAAGATGTAGGCCGACGATTTGGTGGCTGTACGTTCCGTCATGCGCTAGAAAATACAATAGGGATGACAAGATGTCGTAACTTGTGTGCACACAATGAAACAATTATCATTTTCTATTCGTAGACTGCAATGTACACAAAACGTGAGATAGAAGTAGACTCCGTTGACAACTATTAATATTACGATAATCAAATTCATTTAATAACGATTGTTCTTATTTCGATGGAAATCACTTCGGATAGTTTTTTAATAGTCGCATTTCAACTACTTTTGTGATATAAAGACCACTTCGATTGCTTTTACTGTAGGGGGAACTGTAGGAAGAACACATAAGGACATCACGCAAACACACAAACATCCATGCCCGAGGCGGGATTCGAACCACGCTATCCAAGCCGGCACTTCGGACAGTTTCTTATGAAGATAATTACTTGTCTTGGAAACGTTTTGTTGATGAGTTTACGTGCCGGATGAGGTGGCTCAGGATATTAACTGAGGTCATTGCACTGCGTCTAACCGGGAGGATATAGGGTTCGATTTGCGACAGTGACGGGCTCATCGACACTAGCAACACAGCTAGATTGAATTCATTCATTGTCTGAAGGAGAGATGTCAGCACTGATCGGTAGTTTTTCGAGGTTTCTCCTATGAATATCAGACGAATGCTGCAGCGCTACTCTAACTACGTATATTACTTTACCCAGGGACTGCACGTGATCTTTCCTTGCGCTTCCTTGTCCAAGCCTATCCTCATCCCTTTCTTACACACACTTAGACCCATTAAACTACCACTCATGTCGGGAGGTTAATCTAGAGTTTAGTGCTTATCTCGGCAGGCGCGGTATTGCACTGGTCGGAGATACCTGGATAGGGGAAATCTCGTAAGCCGACCTGTAGGCTCACCATTCAGCGGGAAAAGATCACCACCACTTCCCAAGATGAAAGCATACACTACAATTACGGAAATAATAAGCACAGCGTAAAGAAATTGTAACATAAAATGATTATTTGCAAAATACGCAAATAGTATTCGCATTGAAATACATTTTACAAGAGATATTTATCTTAAAAGTGTCTGAAACATATGAAGATGCAAGTTACGTGGAAGTTAGCTGATTATTCAGGAGTGCGGAAATGTGAATATATCACTGTTAACAAGCACGTATTGGCTCGTATTTTAGGCACATGTAATATAATTTATTTACTTGTTTCATATACAATTCCACCTTTTAACATTTGGACATACTTTTTAACTGTATTCCCGTACGTTCAATAATATTACAGTCGTATCCAAATTATTATACACGAACATTGTTTCGAGTTTTTCCACCAATTTCTTACAATTTGTGTTTCACTTGTTTAATGCATGTATTACTTGTACCAGACGGCCTCTTTAACTTGTAACAAGCAAGACAAGGAAAGGTATGAAGTTGAAAATTGGCATTAGCGGCCTGAAAGTTTGTTTATTGTGAAGTTTCTGCCTACGTAACAGCTGTTCAGTTAAATTGAACTCTTTTCGTGTAAACACTGGTTTTAGTATGTTATGAAAGTTGTGAATTACAGATCTAAAAATTAGCACTGAATATTATTTAAAACTCGTACTTTTGGTTCACTTACAGGTGTTTTATAACAACTCGTCCAAATTTCGTATTATAATGAAGAAATCAAGATGCGTGTAAACCACTTGTGAAAAGTTTGTCTAACCGGCTTATAATTCTCATCAAGAACAAAGGAATGCATACCAAATACTAAAAAACTTGTATGTTGTGTCACCCTTTTTTGTATTCGCAAATAAAAAAAGTAAATTAAAATGTTCTTAGTGAAATAATTTGAACAGGGCTGTAAATTGACTTTGGAAGAATCGTTTATTAGATTGGATAAAATTAACCATTTTATCTTCTTCAAGAAGCTGAGTTAAATAATTATTAATTTAACCTACTGGAAACAAGTAAGTTAACAACATAAAAGTTATTTGGTTAAGACAAATAATGATTAATTAACAAAACAATAAAGTCGTCTTTTGTCTTGCTAAGAACATCACAGGAATTATGCTTCGCTTTTCTGAAATAGACGATTTTTCAAACTTGAACAATGATCTTGTTCTTGCCTTCTTACTCGATGATGAGACATTGCTCAATTGTTTTCTAATTACATCAATTGGTGAATCGCTAGATTTATATTTTGTAAATTGAACTCTTGGAGAGATGAAGGAAGTCGTGAGGATGTCCTTGTGGAACTCCATAATCCAGAATGTTCCGAGGGGTCGCAAAGCGATGAAGTGAGTATGGAATGCACGAAATCCACTTTCACGCTTCATTTATTATCAAACTTCGCAGTCTTCTCCAATTATGCGAAGTAATTGAGCAGTGTAAGTTTCAGGCCATCCCAGATTCAAACTTCCTGGATTGGAATGGGGACCGCATTCATAGTTTCGAGAACTATTGTCACTAAACGACTCCAGTTCATGAAACATAGCTTCACTTAGAGTCATGATAATCTTTACAATTCAAAGAATGTTCTAATGCATGTATAAAATTAACTTTGTAGAATAAATTTTCACTATAAAACACTGCTCAAAAAATTCGTGTTCTTAAATCTATTTATATTTATCCAATTCCTACAAATAAGAATGAAACTTTAGGTAATAATGAATTTACACCTTTATTATTTATTTGAAAAAATAAGTAGTTATTGCATTATTACCTCCAGTATATTTTTTATTTATAGAATGCAGTAAATAGTATAAGCAGATTTATTCACGCGACTCCTATAACTTTCGAGCCACGTAACTTTTGGTTAGTGTAATACTACTATGTGTTCATGAAATAAAACGGTCCTTCCAAAATTGAAATTAACATCATTTTAAGTTGCAGTTTAATGAAGAGATCACTTTTGCGTAATGTTGTTACATTTATTTCTGAAATTATTGACAAACTCTGAATCGAAATTTTAATAAGTAATTTTTGTCTTTTTAAACAAAAATTAACACATCTCAAAGTGAAAATTTCACAAAAAACATTTTAAGTTCTATAAGAGCAATAAATTAATATTATTATTGGGAAAGAGTGAAAGATTTAATTGGAAAATATGCCGTAGTTGTGGCTTTCCAAATGTAAGTATACAGATTTATGCACAAAATAACAGGGTTAACTGTTTCTTTACAAATGCAAATACATCTATGTGTTTAAAAACTGTTATGTTTCATTTTATAAGAATGAATTGAATTTCTTCAGTCTGCTGCAACTTTCATTTCCACAAGATTACTCAAATCAACAAATTATTTTTTAACAAGCGCTGCACGTGTGTTGCGTATGTTATCGTAATGACCCCGCCTAGCATCAGTTAGCGGCATAGTACTTATTTTTATTTCTTTCGTACATAGTGTGTATTGTCATGGTAATGATAAGAACGTTCTCAAGGGGAAAACCCGCTGTTGAAGAGCCCTGAAATTGCGTAGTTACTCCATTAGAATGCGTCCTTTTAAACTCCAAAGAGATGAACCTGATTTGAATATTTACACAGGTTTATGACCCATCCAGTATGTTGTTTGCTCTAGAGCGTTGAAAACTCAAGCGGAAATACGTACTACATTGGAGTACGTCAGCACCCGCATGTTAAATGAAACTATACTTCAAACAGTGTTGCCAACATTGAACTGCTGTTGACTCACACTATAACGTAACACTATACGTCTGACACTATAACGAGTGGAAAGAGTCGCCACCATGATTTGAATAACAATAAAGATCTATCCATATTCATCGATAGTTACCTGATATTATTTCATTACTGAATAAATGAATATGATACTTAAAACTTTTAGTTAGATCTTGGACATCTATAAAAAAAATGTTTCTACAAAAGAATATGTTTCTATAAAAGAAAATGGTGTTTCAAGTTCTTGTTTTTTTTAATTCACGTTATTCATTTATTACGGCATGCGAACACGTATTTGTATAAACTTAGGTATTACAAAGTAGAACTTCTAGGAGAAGATAAATCCCAAAGAACCGCATTATATCAAGTTCAAACGATAATGCATTGTTACGTCTGCTGTGATTGAAGTTAGATTGGTCTGATCGTCCTTTAATTGTACGTTCGTAACTCAGACAAAACAAAATCCTGTCGACCTTTCAAAATATATGAATATAAATCTTACGTTTTACTCCGACGCAACACTTTTTCAAGGGTTTGTAATTCTTTTTATACAAAATTTGAACCCCGATGATGGGAATAAACACGAATTACCGAAAAGTCTCTATTAATGCAGTGAACGTAAGTGGTCGGAAAGATTTTTTTGGATTTGTTCATAAAATTAATGTTTCGTCAGCTAAATAATTATTGTGTGCCGTCTTAAATAATAAAGACTAAATATTTACTATGTGGTATTCAAGTCCGTTGACACTGGTTTTACTAGCTTTGGGTATATTTTCATCTCAATTTTCGTGTAAAAGTAAAGGCATATAAGTCATAGCGTCCTTTTTTCTTATACAATAACTCTCCTTTGAAAATACAAATTTAAACCCAGTTTTCAGAGTTCAACTCCAATTTTGAATCGCCAGGCCTGTGTAGTAGCTGTGTTCGACGGGTATTCATAAAAGGCTTACAGCATTGAAGTAGAGAGGTATACATATTTATGTTTAGTACACACAATTTATAAAATATAATTAAAGTGGGATTAGAATATTGATAAATTAGTCATATTTGTGTGATGTCGCTAATAAAGTTAGGAGAAAGTACCAAAGATATAGAGGTACCCAACTT